ACACACAATGTTTTTCTTACCTGATACTGGACATGTCGACAGCTTTGGAGAAAGACGTGGTATATACTAGCTAACTGCAGCGCACACTTCTCTGGACTACTGTATAAACTTCTTACTCCTACTCAAGATATGAGGATCCTTCTGCCTTGGTGCTTCTCAAGCCATAGAAACCTGTAAGTCCGTAAGTTACACTCCGCACTCTGGGGTCTACCTGTGCCTCCCTTTAGTTTTATATCACCTTCTGCCTTTGGCAGCTGGTTCTCACGCACGAGGGCCAGATGTCGGGAAACATCCACACGTACGCACTTTAACAGAGTCAAGCTTTGGAGCCACATCATTTTTAAGTAAATTAAATTATGAAGAATAGTCACATGTAGTCCTTAGACAAAGGGTAAGAGGAGAGGCCACAGCCTGGGCACCAGACAGATTTTCTTTCTGGGGAGTCTTAACTCGGTGGCTGTAGCTTCTCTGGAAATCTGCACCACAGGGGCCACTTACCCAGAGTGGGTTGAATATTTAAAGAACTCATTCTAGAACAAGAAATCTAGAACAACAACAACAAAAACAACAACAACAACAGCTGAGAAGCAGATTAGCAAAGTAATTTTTCTTTTCTGTGGTTTTGTTCCTTAGACTGTATGTACACATGTACATGTATATGTACACATGTAGGTGTACATATATGCACACGAATAAGCACTGTATCAATGAGAAGTGCTGCTATCATTGGCAGAACTGACCCACAGTCCAGGGACAGCAGGACAGGTCACTTGAATGGCCTGAGTATAGGAACAAACGTATTCTGTTTCTCTCAATGTGGGGCCTTCAGCACAGAACCTTGGACAATGAGAGGTTTAGATAGGCCTGAGGCATTGTCTTGTTTCCCTTGGGTTGTATGAAAAAGGAAACCCTGGGAATTCCCATGCTCTTGGACTAGCAGAAAACCTTTGTTACAATCCTGTTGGAGGGAAGAGCCCCACCTCAGGTTCTGTGAGGCTCCCAGCATGTCAACAGCTGGCTATTAGCCATGTGCAGTTCTTGGGGCCTAAATATAGTACATGCATCTGCTTGTTTTTATACGTGCTACTACTTGGCTGTGACCTACCAGACTTCCTGCTTGCCACTGATGAGGGTCAGAGGGCCCGAGGACCTAGTAGTCAGAGTACCCCGATAAGGACATTCCATGGCCTGCCCCTCTGCAGCTGTGTTCACACAGCACAGTTGCCATAATTCCAGTTCCTACCAAATCACCTGAGTAGACTACACAAGCCCTCTCTCCTTTTCCTGGGATCAAGGAGCCAGCTGGATCCTGGGAGAATGGCTTTGTTTTGTCATAGAGAAAGTCTAAAGGTTATTGCTTCAGAAAAACAAGTCTTTTCCCTTACTCTTGTTTTTAATCTGTTGTGGTCATTTGTTCTGGACAAATAATCCTGTTTATCCGGAGCTTGGGACTTTTGCAACCTTGTGATCACACTGATTTTGACCTGTGCTGTTTATTATTCTAGGCTCTGAGGACAGATCTATTTTGAAAGACACTGCTTTCTGACCAGGATCTTCAGTTTATCTGTAGATACCTTTATCATCTGAGAGTCAAAGAACACACCAGAAAGGCTGTGACCTCCACCGCAGATGATAGCCCTGGTGCATTGTGAGGCCACAGCCTCCACAGACTCAAGTTCCAGGGTTGTTGTGTTCTGAAAAGGCTGATTCTCCAGTTGCCCTCAAAGAGCAGACATGGTGGGTCAGTCTAACATTTGTGAACACTTCATAGGAACGTGGCAGAGGACACTGCTCTGTGCAACTTGCTAGAGTTTTTCATAACTATGTTATTCAGAAATTAGTTTTGATAATATTTCAAAAGTAAAACATATTTTAAAAAGCCTTAACTAATATTTGGACAGCTGTGAAGTACTACCAAGCTGGCTGCTACTTCCAGGGTTTCCTGTGTCAGTGGTTCCCCCAGCACTGAGTTCCTGTGTCAAGGATGGAAGGTGTCTCTTGGCTTACAGTACCATTTATTCTTAGCTGTCTGCTCAACATCAGGTGCTTAACTGTCCCCATGTCTGCTTCTCCAGAAGGGGAATTACCAAGGCTCTCTAACTTTGTTCCTCCAGGATCCAGTACAGGCCTGGCATAAAACAATCAAGTCAGTTAATTACTTCTGAACAACGGACATGCAGATGACTTGAGGCTAAAAATCCAGTTTGGTTTTCAACTCTTGAGTCTTTGGCTGGAAGATTCCTATGCACTTCTGATGCTAAAACTCTGCAATTCAGGATGACTCTATTGCTCAGCCATGGGTCACCACCAGTGAGTCCTTTCTTGTGTTCTAAGGTAGGGCAGCCTCGCCTCAGGCCTCACACCAATCCTCAGCCCATGCATGAAGTGAAGGAGTTCTGTCAATGTTGACAGGTTCCAACAGGTGGATGGGTCCTCTAATGACTGCAGCTCTTTATAGTGAAGTACAACAGCTTCAGAGATTAGAAAAATGGATCAAGGCAATAATAAACACAAGAAGAAGTACAAGAAAGGTTGGTCCTACAGCTTCTGTTCAACACAACAGGCCTTTATTAAGCACTGAAGAAAGCACAGTGCCAAAGAGGCGAGGAGGCAAGAGACCTCCCTTGGCAGCTAAGCATCTCTGTGAAACAGCTGGGTCTGGAAAATCTAGAGGTGACATCTACTCTTCCTCATGGCTTCCCACTGCACAGCTGTTCCCACGCTCTGCTCTTCAGGACTCCATGAGTGGCTTCTACATGCACTGCACTGAAGATGGAACTCTGTCTTCGAAGGCCTTCATCATACTTCTCTTTAAATCCACTGTCCACAGACCTGTTAGACAATCATTCCCACAACTGATGCAAGCTATTGCATAGTTTTCTTGTTCCTTCCAGAGATTTCAATCAGTCAGCAAACAAATTGTTCTGTATCCGTATCTAGAGGATTAGAAGCCTTTTGTCCCCAAACAGACATTTTCCATTTTTGTTGGGCTTTGAAAGGATGGATTGAGAGCTATCCCTATCCATTAGAGAGAAAGAAGCTTAGTTCCAAGGAAAGCAAGAGACATATAAACATCCACAAGATGGAATGAAGGGGACTGAGCCTTCTGGAGCCACTGCCAGTTGTTCCAATGCCACACAAATCAACTTCTAAATCATAATTCAAAGGACATATTTCTTGAAGATGACTCCTTTCAAGGATTTCTTTGGATCACACTCACAAGTTAAGGGCAATTTATACCAAGAGCTGATGAGATCATGGTAGTCCTAGTCCTGATCTAACCTCTAGGTCTGGAATGTTGGCTAGGAAAGGAGGCTCAGAGGCCAGGACATCATGGTGAAGCAGTAGTTAGTAGCAGGCCATGTCTCACTGCTCTTGGCAGCTCCTGCTCCAGTACAGTTCCTGAGTGGCAATAAGAAGCAAAGAAAGACAGGGAGTTCATGGTTCATGGATGATTAGGGCAGGGACTTGTGGCCATGCAGAGCCTCAGAGACAAGCACTGGGCAAGCAGATGAAGTCCATTCTCTAGGGGCTGGGTGCTATACTGCTCTCTCAAACTGGAAATACACAGGAACAAGGGTGGCCATACTATTCAACCATATAACATGGCTGGTACCACCGTTCTGAGGCTCTTTATTACCACCTAGGTCAGCTTTGCACATAGATCCTAGCTAGGAAGTTCCTGGGTATGCCTGTGCATGCTCACCATGGTACCAAGACTAGAGACACAGGATGATATGTCTACGGAATAGACAGGTGGAATATGCATAGGTACTGGATTCCTTGGGAAGCAGCCATCGGTCAGTGATCAGTTAGAGCTGGGTCCATGCAACCACAGGCATCACAAAAGGCAAGCTCTGGCTAGTTACTTGGCCTCCACCAGCTGTTCCAGACGCTGCAGCATTGTCAGACGCAAGGCTTGGAACCTGGAGAGTGACAAAGCCAAGGGGTTTCACTAAGGCTGGAGGGCCAGGGAGGTGAAAGTAGAGAAAGAGAGGGGAGCAGGGAGACCACGGCTCCTAGCTGGCTAATCAGCAGTTATCACCTCTGTCCTTCACCAAGGAGGCTCAACAGGGCAGTGGACTGTGCAGAACTTCAAAGAGAAGTGCTGGCAACTCTATTCCAGACTCTCTAGTAGGGACAGGGGTGCGCTGGGATGCAGATCAGGAATGTAGATGAGGTTACAAGAAGACAATGTCTGATCCAGAGCCATGCAAATAACCTGAGCTGCATCCTTAGCCTGGATTTCAGATTGTTCTTCTGAACCTGAATCTACTGGCCAGGTGATTCCCAGATCTCTATTATCTTTAAAACCCTATAGTGACATCACTGATGGGCAGGACACTCCAGAGTCTCTACTGAATCCGAGGCTCAGTTGCAGAGAAAGAAGCCTGCGGGTGGGTATGGCTTACTAGGGATTAGTGTGATGCCAGAATCCAAACCAGTTCTGACTCCCAGCTCTCAGGGCAGAGAGAGCAGCTTGACTTTCCCTGCCCTGCCCTCCTGAATGTTCTTCACACATATTGCCCCATGCCACACATCTCTGAAGCACAAACAGATTACTGAGACTCAGAAAAAATCATTAAAGTCACATAGCCTGTCCTGATGCTGGTGACCCTTGCCCCCTCAAATAGCAGCCAGAGCTTGAATGTTAATCACTGCTTCCCACTGGGCTCAGCCTTCCTGCCTGTAGGAAAGCCTTGGACTAGGCTGAGGTTCTGTTCAGCAGATTCTCTGTGACTGCTTTTCTAGAGCTTGGTCATTAGCAGAACTAGAAAGCCAACCCAGGGCTCATCAGGCTCCTCCTTCCCTTTGTCTTATGCTCCAAGTCCCTTACTGGAGAAGAGGTCCAGCCTTATGGGGGTATGGTCTAATTCAGAATGCTAATACCTCAGCTTGCTATCAGTACTGAGTAGTGGGGTAGGAGGGCACTACTGGGGACCAAGGTCAGCAGGTCTCCCCACTGCACTTGGTTTCTACGGATGGGAGAAGCCTGCCTGCTTGGACAGAGGCATGCCCTGCAGACATCCTCTAATGGCCAGAACTGTGTCTGGCCAAGGGGTAATGCTTACTTCATGGTCAGTTTGATTATTTCTCTTTCTTCCTCTTCTTTTAATTTTTCAACAAAACTGTCCAGCACCGGCATTTCAAACTTTATGTACTGGGCAACCTAGAAAATCCAACAACAATAATATGTGCTTTAGACAAAGAGCATGAGATGTCTTTTCTCTAGTGGTCAAAGCCAAAGTCCTGGACCCACAGGACACAGGAGCTGCCTCTCTTCCCAACCGTGCTTCTGGCATTGCTCTGCCCTGTGTGTTGGGAGAGTGGGGACTGCTAGTATCTCAAAGGCAACGATCGTCCATTGGAGGAAATGCCACCACTGGGCTGAATATTGGGAAAAGCATTCAAGTCTGTGTCATTGTCACATTGGGTATGGGTGGGGAGTTGGAATACCATTGTGCTCAACAATGAAATGAAGCTGTCCCAACCCTGGAAAGCTGAGGGAGACAGCTACAAGGTCTTCTTGGAGACTCATACTCTACGGGCCCTTTTGTTTAGGACATATGTGCAGTCTTATCTTCAAGACTTAACACCTGCTGCCCTTGAGTTGGCCCTAGTTAAGGGACCCTCTGGGAGTCTTTAACATGATAATAAAAGCATGTTCCACTGAAGGGAAGGTTTTACTTATGAGGAAAAGGGCAAGGGTGGGCTTTCCTAGCACCCCAGTTCCTCTGTCCCCTAAGCTGACAGATCACCTGTGGGGATCTAGGATACACTGCCTGAGAAGACTGTGGCCTAGATTCCCTTCAAATCTTGCCTCCCCGTCCCTCCCTGTGGAGCAGGCTTTCAGCCCGGCCCCACTCACGTCATGGGGCACTTCCTCGCTCAAGTCAGCTTCCATCAAGAAGATCTTGGCAATCTTCTCACAGGGCCCATGCAGGATTCTGGCTATCAGCGGGTACTCACAATCTTTTAACTTTGTCTGCTCTGAAATAGAATTTTACAAAATTCATGGGATGTTAGGACTGCCCACCTACCCCTGTATGTATGTATGTATGTATGTATGTATGTATGTATGTATATATGTATGTATTTATTTATTCAGGACAGGGGCATGATAAAACAGACATACTTAGAGAGTCTTTCTCAGACCTCTGTGGATCTGCATCTTGGGAGATACATGATTCCACTAAAGGCAGCAGAACTGGCCACCCTAGGCCAGCTCCCTGGACTCAGGATTGAGGCTAGTGAGAAGCAGATGCCTTCCTCTCTTGCTCAGCAGGAAGACATCAATCTGTTGAGGCCTCTCATCTACTGTCAGAAGTTAGAAACTGTCAGGACAGAAGTTAACACCAGCCCCAACTCTAGACTGTTAGCCTAGAGGCAGCAACAGAGGAATCCACACAGTGAATGCTGCTAAAAACCCTCCTCATCTATTAGCCACTGATACTTGGTCACCATCCTGCCTCAAAGTCCCCTCCATCCCCCAGTCACCCTCATCTTTTCAACTCTCTAAAAGCTGACTTCCTTGCTATAGCAAAAGAATTCTGGCCATTCCTTTGTGTGATTCATCTCTGGGAACTTCCATGGTTATGTGTGATGGCCCATTAGTAAACCAGCTTGTTTTCCTCTTATAGACCTGCATTTGGTTCATGTACTTTGTAGGCCCATCCAGGGAGGGAAAGTAGAGGAAAAATAATTGTCCTGTCCTGGGTATCATTTAATAAAGACTTGGCACAGAAAAAAATAGGGGCAAGAGCAGACAGAGGGGACTACAGATTTGGGACACAAGAGATGCTTAGCAATAAGAAGCTGCCACAGGGAAGGACCCAGAGTGTCCACAAGAGCAGATTCAGGTTGCAGGCACTGACACACAAGTCTTACTCTCCTAACTGAGCTACACAATGGTTCACTAAAAGGGAGAGCCTGGAGAGGGTTCTTCCTACCCTGTTGTAGAGGGGTTCTCAGAACGGAACCAAGTTTAATGGTGGAGAGGAAGGTGTGGGGAAGAACAGGTGGCACGCTTGCCACATGAACACCGGAAGCTAGCACTTACCCCCAGATTCATGGACGATGTAGAGTGCAAACTCATTGGGGCCATCTTCTACCTGCACAGACAGCCACAAGAAATCAGACCATAGCATTTTTAGCAAAAAGGACGAGATCAACCCCACACCCTTGCCTAGAGGAGCCAAGTCAGCCAATCCCAGAAACCCCCAGTCCTTCTACCACTCTATCCAAGCACCAGCCTTGTGGCAAGGCTGCTCCCTGTGGTCACACTTACCCGGAACTTGTTTAGCAGCAGGGTGAGCACCTGCTGGGTGGTCATAGTGCTGTTAACCCGGACGTTGGTCACAGACCCGTAGGCAGGAGTGAACACCGAGGTCTGTGTAGAGCAGATGGATAGTTCAGGGCAGGCCCAGAGGAGACATAGCTAAGGTTAAAGCAGACCCAGACAGCGGGAGACTACTTCTTAGAACACCTGTCCCTTCCCATTCGTGCAAGCCCCGACCATGATCTTTGTTCCCAGACCTGCGGACACTCAAGGGGCTATTCCAGTATGTATCCTCAGAACACTCTGAAGAAGATGCTTAACACTGTACACATTCATCAGTAGAAGCTCTCTGGATCTTGGAAACCAGGATCCTGGAAGTAATTCACTGGGGTAGGACACAGGGCTCTCCATCACTCTTCCTACCGACAGCATCAGCATCAACAAATGTCTGTGGACTTAGGCTCAAAGCTTTCAGACCTACTCACTTCCCCAAGTGCTGTCCAAGCAGAGGCCTCCAGTCACACTGTGGCATTTGCCAACAGGCCCCTCCCTCTCACTATCTAGCATATTCTCCATACCCTATGGTACTACCTTTTAAAATACCCCCAAATAACAAAATGTGGTCTGGCCCAGTTTCATACAGCCCCACCTTGGTCTTCCTACATCTCTCACTCCCAAAGAGACCTGATTGTTCAGAAACAACCTTTGGAGAAGACTTCCAGGACTGTCTGCCAATGTTAGAACCCCCTTTTAGAAAACGTGTAAGGCTTCCTGTGGCGTCTCCTCTCACTCTTTAGGCACACATGATGCCATGACCCCCAACAAACATCTGATGCTCCAGCGACATGGGTCTCTTTACAACTGTTTATTTAAACATCCGTGCATACTTTTTAAGACAAGTTCTAACCACGCAGGCTAGGCTGGTTTGAAACTCAAGACCTTCTTGCCTGGCTTCCTGAAGGCCAGGATTACAATTTAGTATCACCTTTTCAAGCATATAATTTTTACTCTTTTGTGGTCCTGAAAATTGAACCCAGGGCCTTGTACATGCTAAGTACCTACAAATACTCCACCACCATGAAGACCATCCCTGTCTCTCTTTTTTATTTTTAGATAAGGTCTCACTATGTGGCCTTGAAACACTTGTACAGCTCGGGCTGCCTTAAAACAGGATCACTGGACTTTGTCACCATGCCTGGTGTATTTATAGTTTTTTGCATTGGAGGCATGTTACATTTTTTTTTGCAAGTATCTTGCTTTTTCCTGTAACACATCACAGATAGCCCTTAATTTATGATGGTGTAACTCATCATCTTTGACTTTAAGACAGTGCAAAAAAATATATACATTCATCAAATCATGTCTTAAACTTTAAATCTGGATCTTCCCACCCACCACCATTGTATGGAATACAATGCTACTCTCCATGCAGGGCAGCAATGGTGTGTATAGCTCCCAGTTAGTCACATAATCATCTGGAAGAGCTATCAGAACTCTCCAGGGGACTGTGCTTCTGAGCCGAGATGCACTGTGACTTGGGTGCTACATATGTTTCCACCTTGTTTTCAACTGGGATGAGCTCATTAGGACACAACTAGGCTGTCAGTGAGAAAGATTCTGGGTAGAAAAATTAACCAGGACATTGTGTGAGTCTCAGGAAGCCTGCTATAAGCACTATAACCAGACACTGAATGTGTGAAGCATCTTTCATGTACTCTTGCGGAGGATTCTGCAATGCTTGGAACTTCATGTGCTACCCACTTAAAACTGGTGCCACCCAGAAAGCCTGACGCTGCTGCAATGGGCCCCGCTAACTCTAGCTGAGACCCACAAGCACTCCAGGCTACAGGGTGTACAGGAAATGAGCCTTGAGCCTTTAGGGCAGAGGTTCTCAACCTTCCTAATGCTGAGACCCTTTAACACAGCTCCTCGTGCTGTGATGAGCCCCAACCATGAAATTACTTTGTTGTTACTTCACAACACCAATTTTGCTACTGTTATGAATTGTAATGTAAGTATATGTGTTTTCCAATGGTCTCAGTGAGCTTCTATGAAAGGGTCATTTGACCTCCCCGTGAAGGGATCATGACCCATAGGTTGAGAACAACTGTTTTAGTGCCAAAGAGGCATGGAAGGTTCATTCAGCTACTTCAAGGAGAGGAATTCTTGTCAACAAGGCTGTGTTTGTTCTGCACAAAGCCTGCCTTGGACATGATACCAACCAAGTAGAGACAAAGGTCACTGGATTTCTTTGTTATCCCAGTGGATCACATCTGGATCCGAGTAGCCAGGACAAAGCAGTGGGGATGCCTACAACAATTGGATGGGTCTTGGGATAAAACCCACGCTGTTAGTCATAACAGTTTAGAGAAATGATAGCGTGAAGTACTAGTGCACCGTCCTCTGAAATAAAACCGAGAACAAGTACCCCCATCCAAAACGTCAGTGCTGAGAATTAGTAATTTTCATTGTTTGTGGCTTAAGGAATCTGTACCCCAACTTCTAAGAACATTGTGTATAGAGGTAAAAGGAGGCGAAAAATGGCCTTTGTGTTTTGGTTAAAGACTCTCTGCAGCCCATGCTTCCTTCCTATGACTCACCCTTTTAGAAAGGTAACTGCTCCCGCTGGAAGGTTCTCTCTCCATTCCCTAGCATGGCAGGATGTTGCCTGTCACAGTACACTCCAGCTCCAGGCAGGGCCACACCCAGACAGCCACTCACTCCATTTATAGTAACAACCAATTTAGCCTTTTATAGCTCACTTGGTAATGGAGTGATGTAATTAGGGGAAGGCATCGTTCTCTAAGGTCAGTACAATGCACATTTGTACAAAAGGAGAAGTGCTGGGAACTCAGAGATCCCCAGGTTCTCTGGGAAAAAAACACTCATGCCTCTGGGCACACCTCAGCCAGGCAGCATAATTACCCAGTGAGAGCTGTGTACGTGGTGTTCCCATGATCATGAAAGGCAGCCCCACAAGAAAGGGTCAACTAGAGATACACTTGGCATTAAGTCTGCTTATGGCTTTCTTGCTCCAAATCCATACAACTTAGAGAATGGGTGGGGAGTGGCTGTGTGTGGGGAAGCTCCACCTGTGGATGGGAATGTTATGCCATTATGGCGTTGGGGAAGAGCCTGTCACTCTCTTGAGCTTTCTGCAGCTATCTTAAAGGCCAATGGAGGAGTGGGAGAATGCTGAATGTTAGGGGCCTGCTCTTCTGTGCTGGGGAATAATTCCTGTTCTCTCAGCTTCAGGGCCTAGGAAAAGGCAGAAGGGGACTTCACCTTGTGGTTATAAAAGTGTCCATTGATGGAGAACCGGTGCCTTCGTATCTTCTGGGCTTCGCTCGGTGCCCGGGATTTGGACCTCCTCTGGATTACACAGCTGGCATCACTCTTTGTCCGCATGAGCTGTGGGACCTCCTCCTCTCCCTCCTCCAGGGGTCCTGAAGAAAGAAAGAAAGAAATGAGAAGGTGGAGGAGGGAAGGTGGTCATGGCTCGAGCAGCGGCACTGTCTGTTGGATGCTGTGGCTCCCTGGAGCTCCACAGTCATGGTACACTCTAGTAATGCTGACGCTGGCTTGGATGCTGGGCAGCGGTTGTGCTGGTGCCACAGTGCCTCTCATGGTCCCCACTGAGTTATGTGGTCACTCCATCTCTGTCCTCTGAGAACTCACTCAGGGACAGGTCCTTCACTAGGTGCTAAGGAAAGGGTACAAAGAACACAGTGACGGTGAACGACGTTTGATCTTGGAGAAGAATGAGGATGAGATTCTAGAGGCTTGAGGTAAAAGGGAACAGTGGCCCCTGTTAAGCCCACTTTCTTTTTATATCACAGCCCACTTCAGAAGATTCAGGCCAAGAACCTAAGCGACACTTCTAATAGCCTCTGCTTTCTTTTCTGTAAAGGAATGAAGAAGAATGTGTGGAACCTGTTTCCTTCTGTGCAAGTGCTTAGCAAGGCTCTGTTATGAGACAGAAGCAGCTGTTTCTGCAGTCCCCTATGGCTGTTCTTTGGAGACTGTGTACATCACCCCAAACAGGCTGGGGTCTTCTGGGCTTTGCTTACCTGAACTATCTCTGGAAACCTCTGCCTTGTTTGCAGGTTGAGTGCTCGGCTGCTCAGTAGGGACCTTGCTGTTCTGGGGTGAAGTTTCCTTTCTGGAAACAGAGAAGCACAGTACTCAAGTGGCAGTGACAGAGAAAAAAGTCACTCTGCTTTCACAGGCAGGGCCCAAGTGAGGAGCCCAGAGGCTGAGTGTGGTCAACTTTATCAGTATAGTAGAAAGCTCTCCACACCATCTGTTGGAAGGAGCGGGAGCTGTCTCTTAGAAGGAGTAACCATTCTGAGATCCATCACAGACCATGTGCAAGGTCAAGTGTTCATGAGTGCAGGCTCAGCCAGGTTAGTACCTGGACAGCTGTGTGCCAAAAGAGCTTGAGGGTGTTGTGGGTCTAAGGAGTCAGGCAAGGTTAACCTTGGGGATCAGATCTCTAGCCCTCTTGCCAGGACTGATCCTCACCTCAAGCCAGAGAAGACAGTATCAGGATAGAGAAGACACAGGAGTAATGAGAGGAGGTAGCATTCAGTAGAGGGACTTGGGAATAGGAAAGGATCAGTCTGGAAACATGGGCTGGGGAGGGGTGGCTGGTAGGACTGCTTCTACCTTGACGGGGGTCAGGGTGAGGAGCATGAGTCATACTTGCAACCTTTCCAAGGAGTCTTTATATTCTAAGTCATGTTGCTCAAAATTGTGTACCAGTGACCAGAGACACCTGGGGTAAGAGCTAATTTCTCAACAAGCTACATGTTCCCAGAGAACCCATTTCATCTGCATGTATTATCTATCTATCTATCTATCTATCTATCTATCTATCTATCTATCTATCATCTATCTAGTGTGCATGTGTACTTGACTATGTAAGTTTATGTGCACCTCATGTTGCAGGAGCCCATGGAGGCCAGAAGAGGGTGCTGGATCCCCTGGAAATGGAGTTATAGGCAGCTCTGAACCACTAAATGTGTGCTGGAAACTGAACTAAGGTCAGAGCAGCAAGTGCTAATAACTAGTGATCCATCTCCCCAGTTCCTTCATATATTATGTTTTTAAAATAGTGTCTCAGTAAGTAAGCCTAGCCCAGGTTCAAACTCAGAATCCCTCCCCACTTCAGTTTACAGAGTGTTGTAATCTCAGGCATACCCATGCCACCATGCCCATCTTAACTGTATATTTGGCAAGGACGAAACTCTGACTGTTTGCCTCTGAAGAATCATTACATGAAGAAGCAAAACTCAGACTAATTGCCTTTGTCCTGATGGTAAAATAAATCAGATCCTAAATTCTGGTAAATTTATGCCAACAGAATCTGTCACTGGTGTAAAACAGTAGCAGCAGGAACATAAATTTGAGTGATTCCCTAATATTCCCTTTCAAGGAGATCCCAATGGGCTGAGGACATAGCTCATTGATATAGCACTTAGGGTTCAGTCCCCAGAACCATAAAGCAGGTGTTGTGAGCATGAAACTATTCTCCTTGAGGGACAAAGGTCATATCATCACAGGGAGGGCACCTGAGTGAGATTGTGTGTTGGGGTGGGTAAGGCTAGAAAGGACTGAGGTAGTCACTGATCATGAGAGAGGTTTGATTTGTGCTCCATGCCGAAGCCCCACGCAGCAGTGAGGCATCTTCCCCAAGGCTGAGGCTACACCACATACAATGTGGTGTATCATGAGGTGCTCATGCTAACAGACATCACGGAGGTTCCTGGCTCTGTTCTACCTGCCAGGCACTCACTGGAGGTAGCTGAGCTGCTCAGGCACCCATGTGGCAGACGGCAGGTGCACTCGCTCCCGATCATCCTGCATCTGGAGCCGGATGGGTCGTCTGAGTCCCCAGGCAATGTTGAGGAGTCCTTCGATGATCAGAGTCCCTTCTTCCTGTGGGACCAACACAGGTCAGTCTCTTCAAAAACAGCAGCTTCCCGAAAGGTTTCTGTCCTTCCTTTCTTTGATCTACTCAGGAACATGATGCTTAGCCCCCCAAATACACTCATTCTCCCAGGGAAGAGAGAGCAGTGTGTACATGCTTCAGTGCATGAGGGCAGGGACTTGCAGGAGGTGTTCCTTCCGCTGCTTAGTCCAGGCCCAGCCAAGGGCAGAGCTGTGGCCAGCACGGAGCTGCTGAGTCAGGTGTCCCCCAGGACACCACAAGTGTCTGGCAGGCACGTCCACACTGCCGGGAGGAAGCATGCCTGGGGAAGTACGCCTGGCCCCTTGTGCTGGGCTATGCTCCTTGACTCTAACTACACTGGGATAGAGAATCCCACAGCCACCAGGTTCTACTGGATATTCTATCATCTGTGTGTCCTGCCTTTTCCTCTCCACACATCCAGACAGTGGCAGTACCAACTGGTTCAGTTCACCCCCGGTTATGCTGCCTTGTTTCCCCTGATGGTGGGTGCTGGTTTACCTAACACTTCTGGGACATTTCCATGGTCTATCACGAGTATTTCATGTTGTTTTACTACTGAGCCCTCAACCTACTCTGACTTCCTTAGGTCTACAAATGAAACAACTGCTACTCAACCTTAATTCACAGTAGTCCATCCCACAGGCGCCTGACCTGACTCTGGCTCAAATCCCTTCTGTCCTTGGTTCTTTGTTTCTGACAATTTCCAGCCTCTGTCTCTATGGGGCCCTCTAGGCTCTCTGTACCCTTGTGATTACCCTGTGAACAACTGTAGAGACCTACCTGAAGCCTCTGGCACCTCTGCAGAGACTCCAACCTCACTCTCCCACGACTCTCATCCCATATTTTATTTAGTTACATATATGTTTTGGGCTAAGACCATTTAATGTAAGAGTTCCCCCACACATCCCTATTCTTCCCCTACCTTTCTTCTCTTATCCTCTCTTCCCTTTGGGTATTTATTCAGTGATGTTCTGCTTCCAGTTACCATGTTAACCATAACTAACCTCTTTCCATGTCTATTTGCAACAAGGTTTCCATCTTGGATGGTGACATGGATGGGCCTGCTAACTACGATTCATGTTGACTAACGTGCATGCTGAAGATGCTTGTGCTCACAAAGGATGATGCTGATGACGTGGGTCCTAATTAAGAGTTCAGTCAGGCTTCTTAATCCACAGGAGGCCTAAGCAAAGTCTGCGGTTAGTTCTCCCCTCTGGTACGGAGAGGTTCTAAGGCACAGTGGTGAAGATCTGAAGATTCACATACTCAAGATGACTTAATCGCACAGTGCAGGGGGTTGCAGTGGGCACCGTGCTGCCCAGTGGATCGCTAAGATCCATTCAGCTTGAAGAACTGTGAGCTTTCAGCCGTGTGGCAATGATCCCACTTCTCTTTCTTGCCCACCATTCTTGATAGCTACCATTCTTCTTTCTGCCTCTATGAATTTGATTTATTTGGATTCCACACTGCACTTAAGTGAAATCATGCAGCACCCTGCCCCCACCCCATGAAGTCTACTCTCTCTTCATTGTCCTGGAAAGTCCCCATGAGAACAGGGATGTCCTGAGAACTTCTTCACGGGAATATGGCCTCAGGCCCACTCACAGTGTGGATCTCACCGTTGGGTAACAGTCCTGTCTAGTTTCAAACACCTCACTGACCACAGAGAGAAAAGTCCAAGGCTATCAAAACCACACCCAGCTTCCTGATATGGCCTTACCGTGTTTGCCTTAACAGTCAGGGGAAAGGCTGGAGTCCTGTGGAATCATTCAGGTGTAAGTTGAGAATAGTCACCTTGACTTATTGTTCAGTATCTCCAGTGTCCCATGCCTTTACCCATGGCACTAATGCCACACTTGGAATGCAGACAGGATCAGCAGCGGTCCACGCTGTAGGAGGCTAGCATCTGTCCAGCCTTCATGTATCAGATCTGAACATACTGTTCCCTCTGTAACTCCTCTTCCTCCCGCTTCTGAGAGCAGGTGAGCAGAGGCTCTGAGGCCTGAGAAATGAACTGCTAGTTCCTTCCCAGGGATGCCCACCCTGCCTTCAGCTGCTGCTGTGCTGGTATCAACCCTGGAGTCCCCTGGTTCCTCACAGCCGCCATCATTAGCCCACGCACGGCAGCTCCTTACTGAAACCTGCAGTGCCCTGCCCTTGTTTTGTTATCTTCTGGCCCACCCAACCTGGACCATGCACACAGGCTCCTGTTGTTTCCTGCGTGTGTCCAGCACATCACTGTCACAGGGCCTTTGCGTGTACTGCCCCAGTGGTTTTAGATCTCTGCATCAATGTCACCCGAAGAGAAGATATTTCTGACAGTCCCACCTATAGCAGCAGCCTATGACGATGCTCTACAGTCCTGCGCTCTCCCTTGCAGCCATCGTGAGTGCTGAGTCATTGCACCTGCCTACTGATGACTTGATCACCCTTCCCACTGGGAAACAGGCTTCACGTGTGGTGATTTGTCCACAGTGTTTGCTGTGCCATTAGCCGCCACTGGCACATGTCCAGCCAACAATGGGCAAGCACTTTTCTCCTTGAAAGCATCCCATCTGAGATGTTAGGAGAGAAGCCAGACAGACCCCCGGGCTGCCCTGGCACCTGTGTAAGAGGATGTCCCTTACCCTGCAAGGCTCATGTGTTATCACGGTCATGAGTGCAGGTCTGGAACTCAGCAAAAATTAATAGAAGGCCGGTGTGTCACAGGATCACAGGTGCTGTGAAGTAATCTGAAGTAGAGAATAGCGTGCTACACCAGACAGGGGTGGAAACCTGAGAGGGTCCTATGGTGTTCCCAGGCTCTCCCTGGACCCCCTAAGCTGGCTTTGGTCTCTATCTATAGTAAAGCTATCTAAATCAGGCGTGGTGGCTGCCCCATACCTCACCCTACAGTGTAAACATTTCCTAACCTCCTGCAGGCACATACACGAATTCCAGGCTGGCAGCTGGGCCAAGCCCCACCCTCTGTGCTTTCCTCTGAGAACCTTCTGAAGAGTTGCTATTTTGAGCTTTTCCTGACAGTGATTGATGACTGGAAGAACCGTTTAAAAGCAGCAACGGGTGTTGGGTTTGCCAGACAGCACAGGGAAGAAACCACAGCACATCGTCCTGATTGTCCTCTTCCCAGCGACCAAGAGCTAGAGACTCGGCTGTGACTGCCCGCCTCTGGTGCTTCCTTTGGATTAGACAACCCTTACCCATCTAGACTCCCTGACACTCTGACTGCTGACTTACAGGTAAGAAGAGCAACTGTCCTTTGGTTTGATGCTTTTAAAACATGGGGGCTAGCTTATCTCTGAGAGCATTTCTCATCCTGAGCGTTCACTGCCTGGTTACTGGATAGAGAGCAGGGTAGTGGGTGCCACTGGCCACTATGATCATAAGGTGTTTATCCAAGGCCTTTTTGTTTACAAGAGAGCTGTGATTCCGGGAATTTCCCATAATATCCCTGCCAGTTTGTTATAACCCTGTTTTTCAGATGGGTAATTAGAGGTTTGGAGAGGGAACATTGTGGAGGGTCTCCAGGTCATTAAGTGGCAGAGATGAGTTTAAAATCTGGATGTTCTCTGACCCTACATTAATACCCTCTGGTTCTTTATCTGTTCCTCATTTTTAAATGTTTAACTAATTTATTTCACTTTATATGCATGGATATTTTGCCTAATGTATGCATACCATACACATACCAGTCAGATCACCTGGAACTTGATTTATAGATGGTTTGAGCCACCATGTGTGTGCTAAGGACTGACCTCAGGTTCTCTGCAAGAAGAAGTACTCTTACCCACTGAGCCATCTCTCTGGCCCCAATTATCTGGGTATTCCTAAATTACATCAATGATGAAGTCTTAGTTAGCTGCATATATTGGTGTTAGCAAGAAGAATGAGTGGAGGTGGGGTGGGGGGGTGAGCCTTGGTCTCAGATTTGCAGGTTTCTTATTGCTTCCTGGGTACCCAAGCCCCATGTAGCTTCTACAATGAGGGAGAAGAAATTGGAGGATGTCAGGGTGGCATGGTGGGCCCTTGCCACTGGTTTTCTCTTGGCTAACAGGTTGCTTTTGCTTTATTAGCAGCCATGAGGTCCCGGCTTCTGCTGCCCGTGCCCCATTTGCCAACGATTCGGGAAACATCAGAAGAACTATCACATGGGGCACCTGGGCAGGAGCCCCCAGCCTCTCCCAGCCTGGATGACTATGTCAGGTGTATTTGTCAGCTGGCGCAGCCCACCTCAGTGCTGGACAAGGTCACAGTCCGGAGCCGTCCCAACAGACCCTGCCGGCCAGCCTGGACTAGAGAGAAGAAGCTCCAGGCTGAGTCTCTAGGAGTCAGCGCTCCTTGCTTCAGCAGCCTACAGCCCACACTGCCCACTCCTGGCACTGACAACCCTCTAGACTGGCTCTTTGGGAAGTCCCAGGAACAGCAGACAGATGGAAGCGATCTACCCAACAAGATTGGTTCTTCAGATCACTGGGGTGTGCACAGACAGATGGGCAAGGACACAGGGAGGCTCTGTGAAGCCAGGGTACCTGAGCACTCTCTGGGAAGAAAACCAGGGCACAGGCACCAGACCTCCAACCTGAAAAGCTGGACTTCTAGAAAGCCCTGCCAGGCCTCAGCGTCTGTCTTCAGCTCTCACCCCAGTAGCATCCTAGGGACTCTCTATTTGCATCTCCCAGTGATCCATGAACTCTAACCCCTCCCCAGAAAAAACTCATAAAGAACATGGTGGGTCCTGTGGCCTCCCCGGCTTCTTTCTCTTGTGGTGGACACTTTCTGGCAGATCTGCAGGGACTGAGCAATTCCTAGTAAGACCCATCCTCCAAAGAGTGATGACAGTCTAGCTCTCACAGTGCAACTTGACTGGTACCATCTGTTTGTGACTGGCTGGCCCATGACCTTGAGAAGAGTTAGTGTCTCTATTCCTTGGTTTTATCATGGGTAAAGTGAGCGTAGCTGGAACGACCACCTCCCAGATTTCTCTAATGAGGAGATGTGGGCTGTACTCTGGGTGGCCATCACAGTCTCATGAGAAACCAAAGGCAAAGGGCCAAGGTGGGGGTGTGTGTGTCTCAGCTCCCTAATGCAATGGCTTTCAACCATCCTAATGTTGTGACCCTTTAATACAGTTCCTCATGTTGTGTGATCCCCAACTATAAAATTATTTTTGTTTCTACTTCATAACTGTAATTTTGTTACTGTTACGAGTCATAATATCAATCTTTGTATTTCCCAATAGTCTTGGGTGACTCCGTGAAAGGGTCATGCAACCCCAAAAGGGGCCGTGACTCAGGTTGAAAAACCACTGTCCTAAAGGCTTCCAAGTAAGGGCCTGGCCTCTATGCTCTATCTTCAGACATATATTTCCGGAGGCCCAACAAAAGACATGAGGTCTCAGCAGATGTACTACTGTGTTTCATAGAGACTGTCACCTAGGTACCCAGGGAACCTGCTGTCTTGGCTCCAGTCCCCAAATCTCATCGCAGTACCAGTGAATTCCCAAACTCAGGCCCAAAACAGAATGTAGCATGCAGCCTGTAGGCTGCCACACACCTCGGTCTAGTGGCCTCATCTCAGCTTGTCCTTGCCTGTGCCCCCCAGCTGCACCTAGGCCCTGTTCCACAGGGGCACAGCAGGCAGTTGTCCAACCACCTTATTCTGGCTAAGTCTGGATGTCCTGAGTCTCTACAGCCTAGAGAATGTCAGCTCCTGGAGGCATCTACCAAGCAAGAGGGTGAAGACGGGGAGTCGGTGATAGGAGGGTTTCCTATAGGAGGAGTAGGTGTGGTCTTGGGGGTCGGAAAAGAATCAGGACTCTAGGCCCAGCACCTGCTCCCTTGTATAGGTTGGAGCCAGCTGGCCACACTCAGGGTGGAAAGGTCTAGAGAAAGAGAGACTGTAACCATTTGATGTCCTCTTTTACATGTATATCCCCAGACTCAGAATGCAAACCACACACCAAAACGGTTCAGACGAGCGATTTGTTCACTTCTCTTATTTGCAAAATGCAGGACACCAACACAATCCTTTGCCCTTGATGGGAGTTGGAAAGCTGGATAGGTGGACATAGATAGAGGTGCAGTTTGCATCTGTCACAGCTTACGGTGTCTCCTCAGTAGCCTCAAACTGACCTTCTAGAAGGCAGCCTTTGGGCAAAATGTCCTCATGTGTGATAGGAAGACTGACCAACTGCAGAGGGCATACCTGTTGGGGACTAGATGGGCTGCTACACCCAGCCTCTTTATGTCCCCTTCTGTATAGCAGTGTAAAACAGGGTCAGAGGGAGGCGCCCGACAAGTGGCACGGCATTAGTGAATGTTCTACTGACTCAGCAGTCATGCTGCTGTAAGACAGTCAGGGAACTTGCTCAAATATTCTCCCGTGTGGAAGATGCTAACTGGTAACTTGAGAAGCTTCTCTGCCCCGTAGCACCCTTCCACACCTGGGCCCACCCAGTGGAGCCCACTAAAGATCTGGGGAAGGCAGTGTCCAAGCTGCTGAGCACAGGGCAGCCTAGTTATACTAACTACACTTTGTGGGGACAGCTGTGTAGAGCTCAGGATGGAAGGGTCTGAGGTTACTTCAGGGTTAAGTGATCTTCCAGGCCTAGGAGAAGGGGCAGTCCCACCCTTCTAAGGAAGGATCAGAGTGTATGAGAATACAGAGTATCTTAAACTCTGGAAATCTAGAAGAGAATAAAACTGGATGCAGTATGGGGCATGGCCACCAGGGGGAGACTATGAACTACTGAACGGTTAGTATCAGGCTGGTTGGGAAATCCTGATCAGACAGCCTGCGTGGGAATAGTAAGTCTCTGATCGCCCTAATAGATTTATATATCGGCATTATATATCACTAAGCTGAAGACAGTCAACTTCAAAAAGGTACTGATTATTCTACGCTTTCCATTGTGACAGAAGCAAAATTATCCCAAAGGCAAGTTTTACAGTAGAGGGGGCTGGCACACCATCCTCCAGAGAGCGATAGTGCTCCCCCTAGCTCTTAGTAATTAGGAGAAAGGTCATTGGGAAACAGCTGTCCCACAGTGTGGTCCCACCCACAGATGTACCTCATTTCTCTACAGGCTTCTCACATGGCGGTGAGGGTGTTTGTCCCCAAACTGTACAGTCAGGCTGTAGTTGCTACCAGCAAGCAATGTTTCTTCCAGGGCACACCCAAGTGGTGAGCACCTCAGCACTTGAAAGCACCTTATAACCTAGGATTAAGAGTAATAAACTGCCCCATGTCTGAGATCTAGTCAGTGATACCCAATTCATGCCTCCAACGAGTTCTAAATCATAATGCCAGAAACGGCTTGGCTCTCCTCAACACTCTTAACACGTCTTTGGAGCTACGGCAGCCAGCTTCATTTACTCCAAAGTCCTGTGAAACGAGCCATCCCCTCCAGGAAGGAGAAGGGGAGGCTCAAGAGACTCCAGAAGCAAACAAACTGTGCATGTCTCAGAAACTCAAGACTTACCAGCATCCTCCCCAGGGAGTGGTGTGTGTGTGTGTGTGTGTGTGTGTGTATTGTAGGCAGCTGCTGGGAGAGAAGCTGTGGAAAGGTGAGTTTTCTTACCTATACATTGTATAGAGTCCCTCAGGGTGCAGCTTTCACGAGTCATTACCCATGCTGGGGTGGGCTTCTTAGTGACACAGCTACTTCTGCGTCATTTCTGCTCCTCTAAGTCACCCCTCAGCAACACTCCTGTTAGAATCCCCCAGGATCACTAAGCTGGACTTTGGCCTGTAGTGGGTTCCTGTTTTAGGGTTAGTAGCACGTGCATGTGCTCTATCTACCCAGGAAAAGTTGCTCACATAATACAACTAGAGACTTAACTTCTGAGAGCCTCAATTTCTTGGCAGGAAAAGGCCCATGGTAATAGTTAGAGGAGAGGCAAAGTGGTTGGTATACCAGATTTTCCCTGGGAACTGTGACTTCCTCCATCTGCCTGTCCTTGTGACATCCAAGGACAGGGCACTCTGGGGTTGTCCTATAGTAAGTACCTGGGACATAGGGTCCTGGATGGCCACCTGCAGGTCTGAGACTTTTGCACTGATTAACTAGACAGGGGCTCATTCCTGTCTGCCAGAACTCAGATTCTGGACTCGCAGGCTTGACTCTACTTTGGCTGTTACCCTGATAAAAGTACACGCCGTCTCAGACTGCCTGCTCGCTGAGTCTGCTAATACTGCAGAAGGTCCCTGAAAGGTATGTCCTGGTTTCATGGATATCAAGTCAGTTTGCCCCTGGGGTTTAGAGTTAGAAATACAAGACCCCTACTGTGGTTAGCTCTCTTCTGGGACAAGCTTACAGGCATGAGTTTCGCCAGCCACAAAGTTCACTTCTTTTCCATCTGGACAGTCACAAAAACTCACGGCACCCTCAGGGCTCCCCAGCTTCACCCCACACAGCTAAGCCCAGAGAAAGGACTCCCAAGCACCAAGATCAGGGTTCTTCTATGTAGCTCAGGCTGACTTGAAATTTATTAGTCGACACAAACTGGCTATGAACTCCTGGCAATCCTCCTGCATCAGCTTTGGAATGCTAGGATTAGAGGAGTCTGTTAATTGTTCTCAAATGTGAGCTTCGATCAGAATGCCCTGAAAAGTTTGCTAAAATATCGGTGAGAAGAGGAAAGTTTTTGTTCAGTGTACTCACGCAGCATGCGTGTGTGTGTGTGTGTGTGTGTGTGTGTGTGTGTGTGTGTGAATGGGCATGCACACATGTAAGATTTCCATTCCCAGCCAGTTCCTTTGTGACAGTGAGGATGGTGACATAAAGACCATAGCAGAGAACCACCCCAGCCTTAGAAACATCAGTCCCAGAAACACCCAAGGGTAAGGAAGGGAAACCCAGCAAAGACCCACCCATTACACCCCGTGCCTGTGCTAGGAGTCTGAGGTGGGCACAGATCCCCCACTTACCAGCACAGGTCACAGACCAAAGCCTCTCTAACCACATTTGCTTGCCTCCTCCCTTGCTGCCCATCACACTGAGCCCATACCTCAGGGTTCTTTTCTCAATCTGAATGGCCCAGCTCTATACCTGCGAGCTGTGTACAGAGCCTGGCCCGGCATATTCAGCACTAAGCGGGGCCCAGTCCCAGCACCCAGAAGTTCACCACTCAGGTAGGCAAAGAGCCAGTAGAACCTAAGATGGAAGGTAGGGCTATGGGAGCAGAGCCAGGTCAGAGCCCTAAGAGGCTGTGTAGAGCTGGGAGGGATGGAGGTGGGCCGGGGGATGGGGGTCGGGGGGGGGGGCGCGGGGGGGATGGGCCCTGAAGACATAGCTGCTCTGGACACATTAGCACTGGTGCCAAAGCCCAAAGCTGAGAGGGCAGGAGGGCACAACAAGAAAAGGCAGAGCTCAGGGCGTTTATTAGAGATGGTACAGTTGGTACAGCCCTGCCTGGACTAGGAACCTGCAGCCTCTCCCACTCTACAGGAGAGGAGGAACCAAACCCTGCTGTCCTGGTCCATGGCCTGCCATGATGCCTGCCTGATGCTGTTTGGCTGGATCTAGTCTAGTCCCACAGAAGATTGTGGGTTGATGAATAAGCAATACGAGAGAGGTTCAAGGACCTGCCAGAGGCCTCTGTGAGTTTCTACCAGCCCTTTTCAGACACTGAGAAATGAAGCATCTCCAGCAGCCAACGGAATCTCAACCATGGAAATACCCCAAATAAATCCTTACACTATTCTGGGAGCCCAAGGGCTTGAGACCAGCCGATCCTGTGCGCCTCCTTCCCTGGGGGTCTCCAACCCAAGAGCTCCTCCCCAGCGGGACCTCAGACTGGGATCTCCCCACGCACAGAGTGGAGCTCTGTGGCTTCCCATAGCCCTTCGTCTGCCCGGCGTCTGCCCGCGGCCTGTGGAGTGAACTCAGTCGAATTCCCACACTTCTGCCCCCTGAGCCGCAGCTCCAGCCGCCTGGGCGGCAGACACGCGGGACCCACAGCTCATCCTAGCAGGACCCATGCCCATGTGTGAGACACAGCCCCACACACTATGAGCCTTCTCATTGGACTGTAAAATGTACAGGACTAGACACAACTGAGAGTACAAAGCCAGAACCAAAGTACCCTTATGAGCTTATGGATGGTGGAAGCCCGGGGATGGCTTGATCTGCCTTCAAGTAGATCCTATCCTGGACCCTGCTAGGCACTCCCCAGAGTGTTTACGGGTTTAAGAAATCTGGCATTAAGTCCCAGACGCCTAGCCTCTTCTGGAAACTCCTTCTGTACCAGGACCACATTCTCGAATTGCAACCTTGGGTTGCTTCTGATAAGGTGGCTGTCCCCTTTAGTTAGGACCCACTCCCCGTATGCCCCTTGTCATGTGAGCTTGATACCGATCTACACAAGACACTGCTTCTGAGGTGAGGATGCCTCGGTGAGGGGCACAGGCAAGGCACTCCACGACACCTGGCTGGGTGGCTGGGTGGCTGGGTGGCTGGGTGGCTGGGTGGCTGGGTGGCTAGGTGGAAAACAGACCAGTAAAACTGTAGAAGTGAGGTCTGGTTCTTCCTCCCAGTCCCATGCTCCCAGAAATAAGACTCAGACTCAAAATATATTTACAAATACCTTGGCCATATAGCTAGGCTCTTCTCAGACTAGATCATAACTTATAATAGAACCCATTTATCCTGATCTACATTCTGCCATGTGTCTAGTTACCTGTGCTCAGGTACCACGTGTCGTTTCGTCACAGCTTCCTGGGGGAATCTCCCGCCCCTCTCTCTATCCCTGAATTTTTTCTGCCTCCTGGATGTCACATCTTGTATTCCACCCTCTCCTATAGGCCATAGGCTTTTTCTTAATTGACAGGTGAAACATCCATGTAATACAAAACCAGTGTGGCACACTCATTGAGCTTCGTGTCAAGAGTGCTTCCTTCTCCACATGGAGTCAGTGGGAGCTGGCACACTGTTGTGTGTGAAGTGCATGAGGAGCATGGAGGGACCAAATTCCCATCACCCTCCCACCAAGTAGCGAGATAGGCAGAAGTAAGAAGGGGCTAGACAGGCGCCAAGACTCCACACCCACAAGTGCAGCGCTACAAGTAGGTACAAGTGATTTCCTTGCTAGGAAACCTCACAGAAACACCACAGCCCAACTCTGTGTGCTCTTACCTGGCTCCTTGGCCAGGAAATTTGACAAGAGCCTAACTAGCCCTGAAGGAGTTAGGCTGCATAACTACCCTGGGAGCAAAGATGCAAACCTCAGCAGTCTACACAAGTCAGGACAGATGATGGCCCTTCCAGAGAAAAGGGTTATAGGTCTCACCTCTCGGTGTCTCAGCTGGAAGCTCCTGCCCTCATGGTAGCAGTTGTAGGTTTTGAGCAGACTTAAGAGTTCTGACCTAAAAAGACAGAGACACACATGGACACTGGGAGAGTGGAGAAACCACCCTCAGGGAAGGCATTGTTGATACCACGGACCTCACTCTCTTCATCTGTAAAATAAATGTAGTAGTGTACGTCTTTGCCAGCCATATCTACTCAACCAAGAGACCCAACTGTCCCACCATGACACGTGACCTCTCAGTCCCCAGCAGCTTCTGCAGCTCAGCCCTTGTAGGAATTGGAGGAGGAGAATTGGCAGAGAAGGCAAAGGTGCTGAGAAGCAAGCAAAATGCCCAGGCAGGTTCCCACCCCACAGGAAGCACTAGGGCGTGTGAGCATGTCCACTATAGGGAATGTGTGCATGTCCACTATAGGGTATGTGTGCATGTCCACTATAGGG